AAAACTTTTAAAATGAAAAATCCTCAAGAGAAAAACATATCAGACCCAACCACTACTAAGGCAGGGCCTAAGACAAACACAAATCACAGACTTCCTTTTTCTTCTGCCACAAATGTCAGAAACGCTTGGCATCTGAGTGTATTGCATTTTTTTTTTTCCTCCTTTCTGAACGGCTCAACTTGGAAAGGTCAGCCTATCCCTTTGGGAAAAATCTTTTCTTGTAAATTGGAATGTTTGCACACAAAACTGTAGGAAATGTTTAACATTTGCTTTGATGGGGCAGCAGTTTGTTCAATAGAATAGAATTGTTCTCCTTTTTCCATTTTCCTGTCTGTTTGTACATCACAGGCACCCAAATTATGGAAAGCAACTTTGAGGTGCTTTTTTTCTATGGGGTCAGATGATCCTGTCCACAAAACCAGCCAACGCCTTGGACTTCTGAAATGCAGGCTGTGTTCCATCTTTTATTTACTCCGAGGGACTCATTTGTAAGACACTTTGTTCTGAATAAAAGCAGTAATTTTCCACAGACTATACATAGTGAAACCCTGGAAAAGGAGGAGGAGGAGACGGTGGAGGAAGGAAGTGGGGAGAAAAAAAAATGGAATAACCCAAATAATCGCTCCAAGTTCTCCTGTTTTACCTTTGTACAAATTTGTTTCCATGTGTATAACACATGTTGTACAGTGTCCAGTGTTTCAATGAATTAACTTTCTGTGAGTCTTCTGGTTTACATTTTAAAAAGATACAGGTCATTAAGACAACAAAACAAGTTGCTGTTTGTGATCAGCTACCTCCAATGTGATAATCAACATAAACATTTGTAGTTCATAGAGAATTCTCCTTCACCAGAACCCATCTTTCCATCCATCTTGAACTGATGAAGGAGAACAGTGCTGAGTTTATGTGGCTATTCATTTCTGTAGCAACACATGGATACCAAAAGCACTCTTGTAATTTTTTAAAAAAATGCTTAACTTGGCAATGACAAAAAATAAACAACAGAGGGAGGGATTGTAAGGAAGATGACTGTACCTAGGTGTTGGTCTGGGCTGGACTGCAGGAAGGGACCTGAGTCAGCATGGTTCATTATTTTGGGAGGCTTCCGATTATTCACTTCCAGAAACAGCTTCCCTTTCATTTCTGCCAAGTCCCTCTGCTACTGAGCGTGTGCTGTGTGAGAGCCCACGTGTGTCCCTGAGGTGTGTGTGTGTCCCACAGAAGAAATGGACTGACTATCCAAGACAGCCCACTTTTCTCCATGGCTCCATCCTGTCCCTTCTCACTTCCCAAGGACTTCCCTCCTTCAATTAATTCTTTCTCTCCTAGGTCATCAGTTTCTTTCTTCATTGGCTCAATCACAAAAGTGTACAAACATTATTTCTTCTCTGTATTGGAAAAAATAAAACAAATCCTTGTAACTCATATCCCCTTATAATTACTACCCACAGCCCTCCTCTTCTTCACAGTAAAACTTCAAAATAAGTTAGCTGCACACATTGATTCTTCCTCTCTTCCATTCATTTTCCAACCTACTCCCATCCGGCTTCAATTCCCATTTTTGCAAAGAAAATGATCTCCACAGTCACTAAGTCACTTAGTTGTCAAAGCCAGTGAACATCTATCTGTTCTCATGCTACTCAGCGTCCAATAGGACTTCAACACAGTTGACCATTCTCTGCTCTTGGTTTTCAGGATCCTGCCTTCACTGAGTTTTCCTCCTGCCTTTGGGCTGCCTCTCTCCAGATGTTTTGTTGGTTCTTCATCCTCTACCTCTATCTAGATGTGGAAGCACCACAGGGCTCAGTTCCCAGCCTTCTTCTCCTCTTTACACTCTCCCTGGATGATTTCATCCATCCCACGGTTTTACATAGTATGTGAACGCTGAAGAACCCTGGTCCTGATGACTCCTGTGATTTTCACATTCATACATGCAATTGCTCTCTTAACATTTCCACACAGGTATTTAATAGACATCTCAAATTTATTGTTCTAAATTCATTTCTCTTGAACTTTTCCATCTTCAGTAAATGACACCACTTTTGAGCCAGATGTTCAAGTCAAACACCTGTGAGACATCCTTAATTTCTCTTCCTTAAACCCTACCTCATCTCCTCCCCATATTCCACCTATCAGCAAATCACATCAGTTTTATTTTCAAGATATATCTTTAATCATTCAACTTAATCTCTATATCCACTTCTACCTCCAAATTGTCATCATCACTCACACGGACTATCACAATGGTCTTCCTGCTGCCACTCCTGCTCCTGTATATCCTGCACAGAGCAGACGCAGAGTTTATTTAAAAAAAAAAAGAATGAGAAAAACCAGATTATATCATTGCCCTGTATAAAGTCTGTTAATATTTCTCACTGCTCTGGGAATAAATTCAAACCAACCCTCCCACAGTTTGCATGGCCCCGTATGAACTAGCTTGTCTTCCAATTCTCAACCACTTCTTCCCCCCTCACTCTGCTTTAGACACATTGGCCTCCTTGATTTCCCTCTAACATATCAAGCCCTTTTCTGTCTCAGGAACTTTGCCTCTGTTCTTTCTGCAACATTACCTCCCATATCTTCACTGATTGGCTCTCTTTCATCCATTAATACTAACATTGTTGGTATTTCTTCAGATATGTGTTTCTTGCCTTTACCCCCAAACCTCTTGGTCAAAACATCTTATTTTCTTGGAAGCACTTGCCATTATTCAGTTAACTTGTTCATCCGATGGCATGTTCTGTGTCTTTCACAGATAGAATGTAAGCTCCCTGAGGGCAGAATCCTCGTCTGTCCCCTTCACTATTGATAATAGACCTAGCAAGGTGTCTAGGATGAGAGCACCCAATAAGTATTTGTTTGATGAATTCATTCAACAGCTTTGATTAGAACTCCCTACTATGTGCCACCTACTGTTCTAAGTTCTTGACATTTATCTGTGAATAAAACAGAACACAGATCCCTAATATCTTAGTGGGGGCGATGGGCACTAAGACATAGTCAACAAAAATATAGTATGTCTGACGGCATGGCAACCCACTCCAGTATTCTTGCCAGGAGAATCCCATGGACAGAGGAGCCTGGTGGGCTACATGTGACCATGGGGTCGCAAAGAGTCAGACATGACTGAAGCGACTTAGCCCACAAAGCTGATTAAGTGCCATGGAAGAATTGTTTCTGAGTGAAAACTTAGGATATTCTCCAGTCTCTTCCCTTCGTGGGCAAAGTGGAAAAGGCATGTGCTTTGCACACTTGAAACCTTGGCTTCTAGAGATGAATGATGACATTCTGAGCAATTTACCTCTTTTAAGGCTCAGCTCCCTTAACTGTAAAATAGAATAATACCTACCTCTCAAGGCTGGTGTAAAGAACAAATGAAATAATACAGATTTGACACTATCTCATCCCTTCCAGCCACCCACCCTTACCCTATTACTCAAGGGCAGGAGCCAAATGGTGCGGTATCTCCTCCATCTCTGAACCCCTAGCATGCTTTCAAACAACATCAACCCAAATTCCTGAAAACACTCAGTATATCTGAATAAGTACAGGGTTGGCCAAAAGTTCGATTGGTTTCTTCTGTTACATCTTATGAAAACACATGAACAACTTTGTGGCCAACCCAACACGGGGGCAAACAAGTGTCCGGATAACTTCAGAGCAGACAATCAAAGCTACTTTTACTCAGAAATAATGCTTTGTAAACATTTTTTAATTGTAATTTTCATTTATTTCTATTTTGGCTGTGCTGGGTCTTCATTGTTCACACACTTTTCTCTGGTGGTGGCAAGCAGGGGCTACTCTACAGTTGCGCTGCAGTACTTGGGCTTCGCCTTGCGGTGGCTTCTCTTGTTGCAGAGCATGGGATTCTAGGGCTCTCGAGCTTCGGTAGTTATGGGGCTTCGGCTCAGTAGTGGCAGTTTCCAGGCTCTAGAGCACAGGCTCAATAGATGTACATGGACTCAGCTGCTCCACGGCATGTGGGATCTTCCCAGATCAGGGATCGATCCCACGTCTCCTGCATTGGCAGGCAGATTCTTTACTACTGAGCCACCAGGGAAGCCCAGAAAATAATGCTTTTTAAGATAGAGTGGGAAGTCCTCACCTTTTTTGAACAATTATATTCCCCTCTTTATCATTTAATTCCACTTTTACAGCTCCTACTGTTAAAGATGGGTGTGCCATCCATATAGTCTTTCTTATCATATGCAGAAGTAAAATCACAGAGAGTTATTTTATAGGAGGATAGAACATTTATTTCAATGGAAACACTACTCTTTATTTTCATCATGCTGAAGTGTGTGGTTACAAACAATTTTCAACAAAACGCTATATAGAATAAGCAAAAAATAAGTTAATACAATGTAAACCTTACATACAGTTTCATCAATTACCAGGTTTAGGAACACACAAGCCATTTCAGACTCTGGAGCTACATTTAGTTAAAAATAAACAACTGCAAACACTCAAACCTTATCAACCCCAAGTAAGACACTAAAGAGCTATTCAAGACTTCTTCGAACCCATTACACAAATACATTTTTATTTTTGGTTACAGTCCCCTGCTATGCACAAGACCATTGGAATGCTGTTAACAATTACACATTTTTGAAGAACGGCACAAAGCGAAGCAAGGAGATAGCATGCCAGCCTTACAGAAGCTGTCTTGAAAGTGCAAACTCTGCATTTTCTCTTCCTGAACCACTAGGATAATAAGCACGGGTACCTCGGACGACAAGGGCAGGGTCACGAACATGCTTTCTCTATCACACCGGTGGGACATTGACTCGAACCAGGCCTCCACGCCTTTGAAGATACCTCCGGTTTTCAACAGGGAACAGGCTTTCAACTAAATATAGTGCAAATCAAATACCGAGGAGCAAAGAACGACAGAACCAGGCCAGCTACCGGTCGACCCCGCGGCTTCTCCACCGGGCACCGCTCGGCACCGGGCAGGGGCAGGCGGGCCCCCCCCCTCCCCACCCCGAAGCCACATCTCTTTAGGTTTTGATGTGCTCGGTGGTGCGGCGGAGCGAGTGCAGGGCCACCACGCAGCAGCCCCGCAGCAGGGCCCCGATGTTGTACAGGGGATCCGTGCCCCCCCTCTGAGTACTGAACGCCCACAGCACGGTGGGGACCACGGGGGCCCCCACGGCCAGCAGATCCACCAGGAAGCTGCGGCTCCAGTAGCGCCCGGCGATGCCCCCCGCGCGGGCCAGTGGGCCCGGGCCGTCTGGCCTCACCTCCTCCGCCGCCGCTGCTTCTGAGCCTGCAAAATCCAGCTCTCTCATGAGGCGGTTCCCACGCGCCTCGGGACCGGCCGTGGGGGACGGGGTCTCCACAGGAGACAAAAGGATGGCCGAGTTGGGATTCCGGGGAGTTAAATCGACCACGAAGGCGGAGATGGGCTCCGGGAAGCTATCGGTCGAGTCGTCCCCGGACTCCTCGTCGGGGGTCGCGGCGCTGGAGGAGGGACAGGGGTCCTGCAGCCGGAGCACGTGCCGGAGGAGCTCGGAGAAGGCCGGGCTGTAGGGCACCACGTCGGTCTGCACCGCCCGCTCCGCCACCGCGCGGCGCCCTCCGCGGCCCACCGCCGCTGCCTCGCCGCCCAGTGCCACGACCTCGGCGCCTGGCAGCTCCGGCTCCGGGATGGTGCCTGTCACCAGCTCCTCCAACACATCCTCGACGGGGGCCGCGCCGTCTGCCCCCAGCAGCTCGCTGTCGGCCCGTTCCTCCGTGGCCGGCTCCTCCGAGGACAGAGCATCCTCCGTCGGCCCCAAGGCCGCGCCGAGGACCAAGCCCTTCTCCGGGGACTCACAGGGGAAGTCGAGGCACAGCTCGTCCCTCAGCGAGCCGCTGTGCGCCATCTCCATGCTCTGGAGGAGCGACTCCAGCTTCTTGTTCTGAATGTTGATGTCCACAAAATATTTCTGAATGCCTTTGTCTTTATCGGCCAGGCTGCTCCGCATCGTTTCGATGACCTGTTTGAGCTGCTTGATCTCCTTCCGGGCCTCCTTGAGGGCCAGCTGGGCCTCCACCCGGTGGCACTCTTCCTCGATCCAGTCCTCGCGCATTCGGGCCAGCTGGGACTTCAGCTCCACGATCTCACTCTCCCTAGAGCCGGAAGACAAGCGAGGCTCAGAAAATAAATAAATAAATAAAAAAGGCCAACTCTGACACCCCGCCTGGAGCCCATGCTTTCCCACCGGAAACATACAGGCTACGTAAGTTTCGATTTTTTTTTCTTTCTTTTGAAGGTATTAGCCCAGAACTGCCCCCCTTTAATTGTAAAATAGCTAAAATAATAACAGTAACTAGAATCAGAATAAACATTTTGCTATGATTGTTTTTCTCTCCTTTTTCAAGCATCGTGCTTAGTCATTCAGTCGTGTCTGACTCTTTGTGACCCCATAGACTGCAGTCCGCCAGGCTCCTCTGTCCATGGGGATTCTCCAGGCAAGAATACTGGAGTGGGTTGCCATGCCCTCCTCCAGGAAGACTTCCCAACCCAGTGATTGAACCCAGGTCTCCCGCATTGCAGGCATATTCTTTATGGTCTGAGCCATCTTTCAAGCATTATCTTCTGTTTAATACAGACAGACTAGTTTTATTGCACTTTGCCTTATCATGCTTTGTAGATACTATGTCTTTTACAAATTGAAGGTTTGTGGCAACCCTGCTTTGTCAGACACTGGTTAGCATTTTTTAGCAATTAGGATATTTTTAAATTAAGGTTTGTACATTTTTTTTTAGGTATAATGCTATTGCACACTTAATAGACTCTAGTGTAGTAAAACAACTTTTATATGTGTTAAGAAGTGAAAAATTTCATATAACTCACTTTATAGCAATTTGCTTTATTGCAGTGGTCTGGAACCAAACCTGCAATATCTCTGAGGCAGTCCTGTACTTAATATTGGAAATTATTTTATTAGAACACATTGGAGTCTCTTAGCCTGCTTTAATCTCCATAGCCTATTCTTTTGTATGTCCACAAAATAATTTGTGGAAGGAAAGTCCATATCACTTTTAATTATGTGTCAAAGGCAGAAGCCAGACTGATAAGCTTTAGCATTGCAAAACAGGTTTGATCATATTCCAATGATGACTTAAATTTTTTTTAAATCATAAAAAGTTACATGTTGCATGGACTTTATGAAATGTTGATAATTCTGTCTCTTCTCAGGCAAGATGACATTAGATTCATCCTACACTGAAGGGAATGCTTAGTTTCTTCACAGGACAGTATTTCTAGATATTTGTCAAAAAAATTTTTTCCTTACATACAGTTTCTTCCTAGTCAATATAAATGTATGTCCTCATTCTCTTAGTGAATATGACAAGACCACATAGTCAGGATCCTGAAATACTTGAAGAGATGTTGTATGTATTGCTTCTTTAAGTTTAGGTTTGACTATTCTCTAGTTTCACTGCCTTTCCACACCTCCCTCTCAGAGATTCAAACCGTTCCAAAGATTCCTCAAAACATAAACCAAGACTTCCAGAAAGTAGGATCTGACTCATGTCACTGTCAACCCTGGTCAGAGCTCTCAGAAAAACCACCAAGAAAACCATCACAGGCAGAAAATCTGGCCTGTCCCAAGACGTCAAAGGTCTTTTCTCTGTGAGATAAGATCTCTTAAGCTTGGGCTGTTGTTTTTCTTTTTTTAAATTACCGTTAACACTTGGCCAAGAATAATGAACCTTTTCCTTCAGCACAGAAATAGCTTGCAGGAATCACAATACACAGGGCCATCTACTCTCTGACACAGATAAACAGGGCTTCATAGGGGCCAACTGTGTGTGACCCACTCTACTGGGAGTACGGCATTGTTCCTGCAAGTGTTCTGTCCTTTAAAAATAGCTCCGCACACACCCAGCTCTTCACGTCAAAGCTAGACACACCCAGAAAAAGCGGAGGGTCCCTTCCAACCCAGGAGGGTTCCCTGAACTCCTGAAAGAGTCAAATCACTCAGGATTATCAAATGACTCTTCTGAGAGACTGATTTAAGAAATACGACAAAAATTAAATGAAGTCATTTTTCTTCTTTTCTATAGCGTGGGTTCACAGTTCACTTTATGGAAAAAGAAAGCGTTCTAAACCACAGCGTGCAAGGAATGCGCATTCACCTCTCATGCAGTCGGCGCTCAGACTCCTTGAGCTTGGTCTTCAGGTGTCGCACCGTAACCTCTTTCTGCTGCAGAGGTGTCAAGTACTGCTCTGGATTTGGGGGTTTGACGCCATGGTTTTCACCACAGGACATGTACCTTCCGGACCGCCTGAAACAATCCAAGTAAATGATATATTACTTTTTCTATAAAGAAAAGTCAAGGCACAGCTTAAACAGCTTGAGAAGAAACGGCAGCTGTGTGCTGGGATCTTAAAGCCGAACAGTGAGTGGCCTCACTTTGATCCCTAGGTTGGGAAGATCCCCTGGAGAAGGGATAGGCTACCCATTCCAGTCTTCTTGGGCTTCCCTGCTGGTTCAGACAGTAAAGAATCCGCCTGCAATGCGGGAGAGAACTGGGTTCAATCCCTGATTTGGGAAGATCCCCTGGAGAAGGGAACAGCTACCCACTCCAGTATTCTTGCCTGGAAAATTCCGTGGACAGAGGAGCCTGGCAGGCTACACAGTCCATGGGGTCGCAGAATCAGACATGACTGAGCGACTTTCACTTCTCTTCCCTTCACTTCAGAAGGGGGACAGTCATCCACCTGCCACTCAGGACTGCGCATAACTGGGAAGATTGGGGGCGGGGCTTTGTCAAAGGGGTGGGGCCAGGAGTGGGAGATTTTCTGTGGCTTAGGGACGATCTCCTGTAAAATAATGCACAATTGTCCAGAGACCCGCCTGTCAGTTCAGAGTAAGAGGCTGTTATGTTAAAGGACAATGAGTGGGGGCAGGAAGGGAGCGAGATGACCTTGGTTCCACACAATGTGCCACTTGCCTAAAGATCTTGATTGTTGTTGGTTGAATTCAGATTGTTCTGATATCAGTCCCTGATGTGAGTGTGCTGATGTGGTGGAAAGTTTCCTTCTTTTGAAGGGAAAAGGGCTGGTCTACTCGCACCAGATAGGGTTTGTAAGAGAGGCGTCCGGTGCTCTGTGAAGCTTCCTTCACTGGAACCTGGCCCCTGTCAGGCCTGGCCGAGAGCGGGGCATCCCTCCTGCTCTAAGCGAGCTGACTATGAGACCTGGACGCCCCGGAGGAGGAAGACGGAAGAAGGAGGGCTGGCAGCTTCTTCCGCAGTTTAGGACCCGCGCCAGGCCCCCGCATTCACCCTGCTGGCCCTGAGCCTGCGCTCCATCCAAGATGGCCCGTGCCCAGCATCCAGTTCCCAACTGGCCTGCTAGGGCCCATCTGGATGTGCAGTTCCTTTTTTCTGCAACCTCGTGCCTTCCAGGGACTAATTCATTCCTTGCTTGACCTTCAGATCTCATTTCAATTTTGCTTTTTCAGAGAGGCCTCCTTTGACCCTGCCAAATGGATCCCGTGTCCACCTTTTTTAAGACTTTTTTTTTATGCAGACCATTTTAAAAGTCACTATTGAATTCATTACAGTATTGCTTCTGTTTTTATGTTTTGGCTGCAAGGCATGTGGGATCCTAGCTCCCTGACCAGGGACTGACCCCGCACTCCCCTGCACTGGAAGGCAGTCTTTAACCATTAGACCACCAGGGAATTCCCAGTTCCCAGCTTTTACATAGAATGACAGGTATTTGCAGAATAATCCTAATGCATTTCTGTCAGTAGATGGCTACTGTTTTTCTTCTCCTCTGGGCATCAGCACAGGGACCTTTGTTGTTTATGGCTCTTTTCCCAGTGCTTCACACAGCACTGGACACAGCGTGGTCCTCAATAAACATCTGGTGTTTGAATGAACCAGCAAACACACCAATGACCCTTCCCCACTTGGAGGGAAATGCGTAGGACTGTCCTACTGCTGCTGGGCCATTTCTCCTGCCTAGCCAGTAATTCCTGGGACTGCTGAACCTTATTAGAAACTGTGGCTCCTGTCCTTCCTGCAGCAGCCCTTGAAGGACTGTTACTGAGTACGGGAAAGGAAAGAGATATGTCATATTGCAGAACAAGGCAGGGGGTTGACAGCTGGATGCATGCACGCTCAGTCTCTCAGTCATGTCCGGTTCTTTGCGACCCCATGGACTGTAGCCCACCAGGCTTCTCTGTCCTGGTGGATTCGCCAGGCAAGAGTACTGGAGTGGGTTGCCATGCCCTCCTCCCGGGGATCTTCCGGACTCAGGAATCGAACCTGACTCTCCTACTTGGCAGGCAGAATTCTTCACCACTGAGCCACCAGGGAAGCCATCGCGAGTTATATATATATATGTTTTTTTTTTTTTTCTTAAAGAGAAGCTTACAAGTAGGACAAACTAAGAACCATGGGTCTGGAGACAGACAGCACTCACCTCATGACAGGACTACAGTCACTTCCTTTATAGGAGCCGGAGTTGCTGCTGCTGGGGGAAGAAGGCGCATAACTGGGGTGGATGTTCACGGGACTCAGCTGGTTCCTGCAAAGCATGGCCAGAAGGTCCTTCTCCCGCGGGGACGGTGGGCTGTTGCCAGACTTGTAGGACGAAGCTCCATTGCTCCGCCCGTGGGGACCTCGACTGGGAGAGAAGCATGAAGCTTGTTAGAATCCCTGGGGCCGGGGATACCCAAGTGCGAACGTTCTATTCCTTCTTAAACCTAGTCACCACCGAGGAAATCCAACCTATAGGGTTGAAAGGGGTCAACCCTGTAATGATTAGAGCAACTTGGCTTTATAAGCGCCTTCTTCCCACCTGCCCGAGATATCTTCTCTCCTGTGTTGTCAGCACAGGGCTCCCTCCCTCTGCTGTTCTTTCAAATAGTTTCTGACCATAAAGCTTGTTTTGGATTAAACCCAGCTGCCTGCTAAGAACACAAACCATGTAAAAGGTTGCTTTGGTTTAGTTTCGTTCCAGAGGCTGTTTTAAAGATGTGGCGTCTATTTCAGTATACCTGTTTCTACTTTAAAATATTTGGGTTTTGTTCATGTTGGGTCAGAAAACTGGGGTGGATCATTCGGAGGATCAGGGAGAAGGAGTGTGCCCATAAGGAATAAAGAAAAACCAGGACAGATAAATATAACCCACATAAATGTATGATCTATAATTTTAACCACCTATATGTTTTCTTTTTCTTTCTACTCCCAATGACTTGTGGTTCTTTTAGTTGCTGAGTTGTGTCCAACTCTTTTGGATGCTGTGGACTGAGGCCCACCAGGCTCCTCTGTCCATAGGATTTCCGAGCAAGAATGCTAGAATGGGTTGCCATTTCCTCCTCCAGGGGATCTTCCCAACCCAGGGATGGCACCCACATCTCCTGCACTGGCATTGGCAGGTGGGTTCTTTACCACTGAGCCACCTGGGAAGCCCCCAATGACTTAGCACGAAAGCCTTTATCATTGAACTGCTGAAATATTACCCCTTTTCTTTCCCTGCCTCTTGTCTTGCCCTCTCAGCAAGGAGGCTGTCCCTGTGGTGAAAGCAGCTTTTCCAGCGCGCAACTTGAGTGTCACTGGCCTCCTCAAAGCCATTCAGCTTCCAGAAAAACATCCAGACTCCTTAATACAGCTCACAAGGTCTGATCCCATCCCCACACCACCACATTCAACCCATCCTCTCTCTGCCCCTCTTCCCCCCTTCCCCTGCATTCCAGACAATTTAATTTCCTCGTGGTCCATGCTCTCCATCATCCTTTCAATTTTGAACTTATTTTCTCTATCTAGAAGTTCTTCTGCTCCCTGCTCTGAGCCTCTGGATACCTCCTACTTCAAGATGGATGGGAACCTTCTCCAAGCAGCCTTCTCTGGACCCTTCCTTCTCTAGGCTGGTGTAGTTGCCGTCCCCTGGTGCTTCCCACCCTGCTGTGCAGACTTCACCATGGAACTTACCACAGTGCATCACCATGGTGGGCTTGTCTCTCCTTCCCACCAGACTAGGGCGTCCTGAGGGCAGAAATATAGCTTGTGCTCTTACATCCCCACTACCTCCCAGCACAGGTAGGTTCTCTCTAAATGACTGCTAAGTGAATAAACTGGGTTGAAGTCCCGGCACTGCCACTTACTAGGAACTTAGCAAGTAAGCCACTTACTACTGGGGAGATATGATAACTGTTAAGGGCAATTCAACTGCAAGGTACTATTTTTGGATAATCTTGTTTGAACTTTCCTGTTAATCTAGTTCCATAGATTTGACACTCCCTAGTGTTAGGAATGGGGCTCCCCAGGTGGCACAGTGGTAAAGAATCTGCCTGTCAATGCAGGAGATGCAAGAGATGTGGGTCTTATCCCTGGGTTGGGAAGATCCCCTGAAGAAGGAAATGGCAACACACTCCAGTATTCATGCCTGGAGAATTCCATGGACAGAGGAGCCTAGCGGGCTACAGTCCATGGGGTTGTGAAGAGTTGGACACGACTGAGTACACATATATACAAAACAGTGTAAGGAATGGGCTTTCTTGGTGGCTCAGTGGTAAAGAATCTACCTGCCAATGCAGGAAACATGAGTTTGATCCCTGGGTCAGGAAGATCCCGTGGAGAAGGAAATGGCAACCCACTCCAGTATTCTTGCCTGGGAAATCCCATAGACAGAGGGGCCTGGCGGACTAGAGTCCATGGGGTCGCAAAGAGTCGGACACAATGACTAAACAACAACAACAATGCAATGTAAGGAAGCATCTTAAGAATGTAGAAATTACTTAAATAGGATAGTACATCTATGTCAGGAATATATCTTGATGATGTTACAAGGAAATAAAAGGGAAAACGATACTCTTCATAGAGCAGGGCTGCTTTTTGACAGTCTCTCTTTGCGATTTTGATTGCAAGTGTATCCAACAGACACATCTCACTAAGAAACACGAATGAATGTCAGTATAAGTGTGTGCACTTGGCGTCTACTTGGCTCCAAAATTGCAATTACTTAAAATCTAATACAATTTGAACTAGCACTCAATCCAGTAAATCACATATAAATGAAACATCATGAAATTCTAAAGTTAAAAAGTTCTTTCCTTTTGAAATCATCCAAATGGACTCTGCCTCCTCTTTTTTGTGAAAGGGGACACTTTATATGGAACAGATGGGCTGATGGCTTTGTGACAAACCAACTTCAGCAACTCTGGTAGGGGTGGGGCAGGAAAGAACATGTTCTCTGGCTTGGGAGGTGCTTCTCGCTGCTTTACTTCTAAGTCTGGCACCAACTGGCCTGACTATTTTTTCATGTGGCTATGAGAAATGTGGAGGGTTAACCATTACAAGTTAGGAGAAAAAGTAAAGAGGTACCCCTCATGTTGATCCAGGGAAATCTTCACCAAGAACCTTCTGCAACCCACGCTCTGTTGCAAGGGTTTTATGAACACTGTTTCGCTTAACTTTGACCATCACAGCAATAAGAATTATGACAGTAAGGCTAGTCAGATGATCGCTTTCTTTTTTATATTACGTGAAGTATGGGAAGTACTCAAGTTATGAGAAATAAATGAAGCTCAGCAGAGGGGAAAGGGCTTTCTAGGTGATGCTAGTGGTAAAGAACCCGCCTGCTAATGCAAGAGATGAAAGAGACTCATTTTCTATCCCTAGGTTGGGAAGATCCCCTGGGGAGGGCATAGCAACCCACTTCAGTATTCTTGCCTGGAGAATCCCATGTACAGAGGAGCCTGGCGGGCTACACTCCAAGGGGTCACAAAGAGCTGGACCCGGCTGAAGCAACTTAGCACACAAGCAAGCAGGGGAAAAAAGAAAAAAACTGGTCCAAAAACTCACAACTCAACTGGGATTTAAATCCAGGTCTCTTAACTCTACAGATATGTCTCCAGCTTTCCACAAATGGAATATATTGTTTTAGGTTTGTAAACAAGTATACTAGCTACTGGCTAGGTATGTGGTTATTAATCTGAAGAATTCGCCACCAATTTCTTTAGTTTGGTGCTTGCACTAAGATGTATGATTAGTGACATACAAATTAAATAAGGTGAGGATTTTGTAAGAACTCATCTGCTATACAAAATAAAGCAAAAACTCTTCAAGCTATCAAACACTACTCAAGTACAATTGAGTCTTGAAATATATTTCAGGAAATGAGTTACTAGACTGTAAGAGCTAATATTTAAAAAAGAAACTGCATGCCTTAAATGATCAATTCTATCCCTTACATTTAGTTTAGTTCAAATGCTAACTTATGTGGGTTCAGACTCATCATGGATGATGATAAGAAAAAAAAAAAAACAAAAAACATTTCAATGGAGAAACAGGATTCCATACTTGTCAAGGCCGTGCACAGGCAAATTTGATGCCGCCTTCCTAGACCTCCCCAAGTCCCTTGGTTTGGTGGACAAGACGAATGCAGTCCACAGAGACAAGAGAATTCTGCTACCCCGTGCCCCTTCCTGCAAACCTGAACCAGTAACTGGAAATGAGAGAAACAGGGAGGTGAAGACGGGATCATCATAAGATGCCCAGGGAAATCTCCCTTCCCCAGCCCTTGCCCTTTCCTTCAGGTAACATCCTCACCCTTGCCCTCACCATCTTCATCATCATTGTTACAGGCTGAACAATGTCCCCCTCCAATTCACAGGTGGAAGCTCTGACTCCCAGCACCTAAGAATGTGACTGTATTTGGAAATAGGGCTTTAAAAAGGGTATTTCTGTTAAAACAATGTGCTAGGGTGGGCCTCAATCCAATGTGACTAGTGTGCTTATAGGAAGAGGGAATTTGGACACAGACACAGAGAAAAGACTATGTGAGGAAAGAAGGACGAGATGGGCATCTACAAGTGGACACAGACACAGAGAAAAGACTATGTGAGGAAAGAAGGACGAGATGGGCATCTACAAGTCAAGGACAGGGGCCGCCGCAAGAAGCCAGTCCTGCCAACACCTTGATCTTGGATTTCCAGCCTCCACAATAGTGGAAAGTGGATCTCTGCTGTTTAGAGCGCCTCAGTCTGTGTTTTTGTTATAACAGCCTGAGCAAACTGATATAATAATCACCATCGCCACCACCACCACCATCGGCCACAGCAGCACCAGCATGTTGCCCATTCATTAGTATTATTTTTATCACTACTGACTAAAAATAACCATCTAATGACTCTTTTCCTGAGTTCTGGGCACTGTGTTAAGAGGCTTCCCAGGTGGCGCTGGTGGTAAAGAAACTGCCGGCCAATACAGGAGACGTAAGAGACACAGATTCAATCCCTGTGTCAAGAAGATCCCTTAGAGAAGGGCATGGCATCCCACTCCACTATTCTTTTCTGGAGAATCCCCATGGACAGAGGAGCCTGGTGGGCTAGTCCATAGGGTAGCAAAGATCTCTCAGTTCATTTAAATCAGGAAGGTAAATACCATTATCACTCCATTTTCCAGAACAGGAAACTGAAGCTGGGAGCTCTGGGTCTTTCTTGTACCTAATAAATGATAGATGCTCAAGTCAAACCCAGGTCCATCTGACTCCAAATACTGAGTTGTTGTTTTTTTTTTTTCACTTCTAGGTGCCTCTAGTCAGATTAGAGTTTTGGTTTAAGACAGAGAATTTCTCAGAAAGACCAGTGAGTTGGCTTCTTCTAAGAGGAGGTCGTCTGTAAATCTTCCAAGTTTTGTTTGTGAAGTGTGAAAGTGTTAGTCCTTCAGTCATGCAGCGACCCCACAGACTGCAGCCTGCCAGACTCCTCTGTGGCTTGCCGTTTCCTTTGTGAAATCACCTGTCAAAAATATTCTCTTCAGGACTTCCCTGGTGGTTGAGTGGCTGAGATGCCTCGATTCTAATGCAGGGATGTGCTGCGTGCTAAGTCACTTCCGTTGTAGCTGAATTTTTGCCACCCCATGGACTGTGGCCCACCAGGCTCCTCTGTCCATGGGATTCTCCAGGCAAGAATACTGGAGTGGGCTGCTGTGCCCTCCTCCAGGGGATCTGCCCAAACCGGGGATCAAACCCACATCTCTTATGTCTCCTACACTGGCAGGCAGGCTCTTTACCACTTGGAACTAGATCCCTCATGCTGCAACTTAAGATCGCATACATGGCAATGAAGATCCTGTGTGCCACAACTAAGACCCAGCACAGCCCATAAATTAAAAAAAAAAATTCTCTCCAGCTCCACCTGTCCTTCATTTCCCCTACCTCTTCACCAAATGTTCCCGCTAGCCTTCCTCCCAGGATCTGATTCTCCACAGAGAAAATTCATGTATTACAGGAGGCGTGAACCAATTAAAAGGAGTGTGTGTGTGTGTGTGTGTGTGTGTGCAGGCACTAAGTTGCTTTAGTCATGCCCGACTCTTTGCGACCCAATGGATTATGGCCCACCAGGGTCCTCTGTCCATGGGATTCTCTAGGCAAGAATACTGGAGTGGGTTGCCATGCCCTCCTCCAGGGGAGTGATGGCACCTGCTTCTCTTATAACTCCAGCATTGGCAGGCGGGTTCTTGACCACTACCGCCCCCTGGGAAGTCCAAAAGGATCATAAGCTCTTTAAAAGTTTGTGTGGATACCGGGAAAGATTGAAGGTGGGAGGAGAAATGGACGACAGAGAATGAGATGGTTGGATGGCATCACCGACTCAATGGACATGAGTTTGAATAAGCTCCAGAAGTTGGTGATGGACAGGGAGGCCTGGCATGCTGCTGTCCATGGGATCGCAAAGAGTGGGACACGACTGAGCAACTGAACTAAACTGAACTGAACCAGCCCATCCAGAGTTGTCCTCCACACGTGGTCCTTTAGAACACACAGATTACGTGAAACACCCACACCATTCCATCCCAGAAATCTACTGATGGTGCTCTGTCTGTGCCTGGGTCAGATTTTTAAAAAGTGAGCATAATGGACAGAACACTTGCCTATTTCAATTTCCTGTCTATTAAGTATATATCTGATTTGCACATAATTATATTAAGCTATTTTATGTTTAAAACATCAATTTTTCATCACTGAGGGAATTCATGGGTTCCAGACTAGAATATTTTCTCTAAGTCAGTCAGTACACCTGACATTACCTTGGAATTTAATGACAGACTCAAATCCCTTTGAGATGCTTATTAAAATTGGTTTTCTTTTCAGGCCAGTTCTTCTTTCGCTTCTCTGTCCTTTGATGCCTTGCACCATGGGTATGTGCTAATGCCTTGAATGGGTGAGGCAAATGGCTTATTCTCAGGGCAAGCCACATCTGATCTGTACAGAGAATGTTTATATCCTCATCCTGTGATCCCAGAGGCACTTTATTTCCAAATTACATGGTATTTGGAGATAGAACAATTGTTCTTCACTGCAGACTTCACTATTTAGTTACAAGTTTCTCTGGCTTCAGCTTTGTTTTTAACAATAAAACTCTGCACTGTGGGCCTCAGATCCCTTTATAAATATTAGCTACATCTTCTGCTCACCCAAGAGAAGTGGGAAACATTTGCTTGCTCAGTCCTGGAAATGCAAGCAGTTAGAAACTAAACAGCTTTTCTCCAGAAAAGGGACTTTAAGAATCATGTGGTCCAACCTCCTTCTTACACATTTGGACACTGTGGCCCAGGGCAGTCAAGGGACCAATCACTCCCAGGGTCATGTGACTCACTCCATTGCTTTGTTCAGGTCCCTGCCCAGAGCTCACCTCATCACAGAGTCTCCCAGAACCAGCCTGTTCAGAATATACCACACACTGTGGGTCTCTGTATCCTTTTTCTGCATGTTTTAAAAAAAATATTTATATTATTTACATGCATTATCTTTCTCTCCTAGAACGAATATAGTTTTCCTAAGTTTTGTTTACTGCCATATCTCTAGAAACTGCCTCATAATAGATGCTCAATAAATTCTAATTGAATAAATGAAGCTACAGATGGCAGCAGAGAATCCTGGGGCTGACAGCCTGTCCCACCAAATGTGAACGGTGGCCCCCTTTTTCCTCATGGTCCTTCTCTCCCCCAATCCAAACAGCACCGATGGCAAACATGTGCTGATGTTTACTGTGCTTCAAACAAGTAAACACACTTCACTCCATTAACTAATTTAACCCTAACTATAAACCCTGCAGGGCTTCCGAGGTGGCTCAGCAGTAAAGAACCTGCTTGCCAAAGCAGGAGATGTGGGTTCCATACTTGGGATCGGGAAGATCCCCTGGAGAAGGAAATGGCAACCCACTTCAGTGTTCTTGCCTGGGAAATCTCATGGACAGAGGAGCCTGGCAGGCTCCAGTCCATGGGGTCACAAAAGAATCAGACACGGCTCAGCAACTAAACAACAACAAATAAACCGTACAATGTGGGTATTACTGTTACCCTACTTTCCAGATGAGGACACTCAGGCATAGAGAAGCTGAACAATGTGCTGGGGGGCCACAAGGCCTGGGCTTGGTGGTGCTGGCATTCCAACCAAGAGCCCACACAGGTCACTATTTTGTTAGACTTCTTCTTTTGGGAGGTGGGGGGCATCGCGACCTATGAACTTTATACCTTCTTCACCCCTTCCCCAAGTGAATATTGGGGGCGGCCCAGAGGGTCACCATGCTTCTTTCACAAAAAGGAAGCTCAACTAGAGGCAAGAAAGGGTGAAGTCAGAGGCTTTGCGGCCAAGAGGACAGATTCAAGAAGGGGCAGGCTGGGTGGGAAGTGGGAGACAGCCAGCCTGACCCCCAGATGAGCACACAGGCGGGGGCCGGAGGAGCAGGGCTCCCCAAGCCGGGGACAGGATGAGGGGGAGCCCTGCATGGGTGCACGCGGGGCCAACCACGTGACCACGGCAGGTAAGGCTGGGCAAAGTACCAACCGTGAATCACTGAAAACCGCCACCAACCCTAAACCCATTCACTGAAGAATCATGAAACGGAAATGGACAGCAGTAAAACCAGGTGTCTAGGAAAACAGGTTAAGGACAGGTAATCCACCCGTGCATCGCGTCTTAACGATGACAGAGCGGGAGCTGGAGGCGGGCCTACTTGCGTGAGAAAGAGGACCGCTTGCTCCCGGCGGCAGACATGGGGACCTCAGGAGCCGAGATGCTGCCGGTGCTGCTCGAAGAGCTAAAATCGGCTTCACTACCTGAAAAAACAAAGGCGGGGGAGAAGCATGAAGGGCAGGAAGCTCGCAACCCGACAGCCCGCTGGCCGATGCCCTGCCCTCTGAGGTCCCCGGCTCCCGCGTTTGCACACGGACGCAGCACGTGGCGGGGTTCCAGCGCTCCCAGGCTCCCAGCTATTTCCTCAAAGCCGACGAGAGGAGGCGCAGGCATGAAGACGGCGCCGCCTAAACACAGCCTGGAAGCACCGGGAGGCCGGTTTCACAGATGCCGGGCTTCCCGCGGACGAGCTGCGGTCACCCGGTCGGGAGACAGCGCCCGCCGCTCCCTCCCGGTTCCCCGGGCGTGCCTGGAACATGAACGCCCGACCCCAACGTTTCGGCAGCATGAAAAGCATGCTTGTCAGCCCAGAGCGGTTTTTCCAGGAGAGTTTATCTTTCGGCTTTGCAGTCGGCTAGCCATACTTGAATTTGGCACGTTAGGGTCTGGAGATAATCAACCGGCTCGAAATAGGAGGAAAGCCAGCGCTCCAGATAACAACTCCAAGCCCCGCTATCTGATCCTCCACTTCTCTGACCGCAGCTGCAGCTTTTCTATGAAGAACACAACCTTAACAGAACAGCAGGAACTTAACATTTCCAGAGAGCTGTGAAAAAAGTTCACAGTGACCAGTGATGGAACCTGTGAATGATAATTGAAATTTGAAACCGCAGTTTTTGGGGGTGGGTGGAAGGGTTGTTTATTAGTTTACAAAGATCACAGTAAGTTTTAAGTACAGACTAGGGTTCAGTGTATAATTGAAAACATGCTGTATGGTGGAATAATTAACATAAATTCATTTTTAACAAAACAAAGTTTTGAAATAGTAATAATAAAAACATTTCATGGATTGCCTGGAAGTTCAGGGGCTTGGAAGAGGTAACAGGACAACAGGAAGAAAAAAAAAGAGGATTTTTTTTTTTAAGATGAAATTCCAGATGCTTTTGGAAAAATCAATCGAGGTACACAGTTTTATTTGATCTTGTTTCTCAACTCCTATGCCACAATTTGTGACTCTTCTGGCCTAGAACTCAGAACCAGATCACATTTCTGATTGAGGAAAATATGAATAATCTAAATCCCTTGAGTTTCTGATAGGCAGTGACTAGTAATCATTTATTTTTAATTTAATTTTATTTTTTAGGCTGTGTTGTGTGCAGGTAGGAGCTTAGTTCCCCAATCAGGGGTCAAACCCATGCCCCCTGCTTTGGATGCACAGAACTTTAACCACCGAAGTCCTGATGATTGTGACTCTTTATTGAGAACCTACTAGGTTCCAGGCCCTTGTTCAAGATTCTTTCTATTCCTTGACCTATTAATCTTGACATCTTTGTAAGGCAGATATTAATCTTGTCTTCTACTGTTGAGGAAACAAAAGCTGATTTACTTGCCTAAGGCTTGTGGGTGATGAATTCTGTCCAGGACCAAATCCCCATGCTACCCCCGTGATAACATGTCCCAAGAAGACCGTAAAAGAAGCGGGAGCTGGGGAGGTTCCTGAATAAACTACCATCTCCCCGACAGCCAAGATGAGCTGCGAGGACAGGAGGCGGTCAGAGCAGCCCACTGGTGAACAGATGCTCTTACTGACGCTGTGCTTTGGTTTTGCTGAAGGGGGAGGCAACTAACAGGAAGGCAAAGAGAAAGATCCCTTGTCTGGTTTCTAGGACCTCTTGGGAAGGTCAGCCTCTTCTGGAAAAGAGATCAGGAAGGACCCCTTAGGGCAGATGACAGCTGGGAATCCCAGCTCCCAGCAGAATTCTGGGAGGATTAAGGTAGCAATTTATCAGAACCGGGGCTGGCTATTCCTTCTGGATTTCAGAGACTTTGTCTAATGATGTAATGAACTCCCAGAAGCTCCTTGAACTTAATTAGTTGCCTCTGAGTAATGTGTTGGCTAAACTATAGTATTTCACAGTTTCAAGGACTCATGATTGGTAATGCTACCCAGGAACACAGTCGTCCTGACAGTCTACTCCAACTTTGTCTGCTAGCAAATTACCAGGTTGGTTATAAAATGATAAAGGTGGATGATTTTCAAAAATAGGTCCTGTGGTTGCAGCCATCAGGGGTAAGATATTATTTTCTGATGTAAAATTATTACTCTGAGACACCCAATTTTCATTCTTTAAAAGGTATGCAAAGACCCATCAATATAATTTAACTGCCTGCATAAGAATGGAAATTCTAGAACAGAAACTGATGTTTGCTGAAAACCCATTGTTATTTAACGATGCCTCTGACCTGAAATTTGTGTTTGTGTGTGTGTGTGTGTGCTAAGTTGCTTCAGTCTTGTCTGGCTCTTTGTAACCCCGACCCCATGGACTGTAGTCTACCAGGCTCCTCTGTCCATGGGATTCTCTGGGCAATAAAACTAGAGTGGGTTGTCATGCCCTCCTCCAGAGCATCTTCTTGCCCCAGGATCGAACCTGCATCTCTTATGTCTCCTGCACTGGCAGGTGGGTTCTTTACCACTGGCACCACCAGGGAAGCCCCTCTGCAGTAATTATGTACCCTGAACTGAAGGGACCACATCGTTCTAAATTTATTGCTACTGGTACTCAATATATTGACTTGTTAGTGTTTGCAGGGCCTTAGGGCACTTTGATCCATGCTTTTCTAACTTATCTTGTGCACATCAGAAAGAGACTGAAAAGGCCCATCCAGGGTACAACTGTATTCAGGACTATCTGAGTAATATTATAGTGAGGAATGTAAATGCTACTTACCTATTTCTGTTGATGACTTTTAAAAATATAAACTATTTACAGTTTGATTATTGTTATGTAAAATCAATGCACTCTTTTTAAAAAAGGGATATACAGAAAAATCAATTTTACTATGGCATCTGAATATATTCTCCCCATTTACTAAACAGGATAACTAAGAGGACAGCTGGAGACCTGAAAACCTCTTATGTATCTATTAGCTGCAACAAAGATACCAAGAAGGAGAGGCACTCTTATGTATTCCCTTTAAACAGTGTATACAACTAGGTGATTGCAGGGGGTACTATATGTAGTTCAATGCTCTTGTGGGTTACTAGAATCATACAAAGAGAGTTCCTAACCTAAAAACAAAAGCCCTGAGTCAGGCAGCCCAGGTTCAAATCCCACCTCTACTGCTTATGAGCTGGAAGACATAGTAGGCACATTACTTCACCTCACTCTGCCTCGATTTCTTAATCTGTAAATGGAGATTGATAATCATAGCACCCACCTCATGGGGTTATTGTAAGCAATGAGTATCTACCTCCTGTCTCAGAAAAACACCTGATCTGTTGTAAGCGCCCAATAAATGTTAGCTGTTGTTATTACTCTGCAGGACTTAAAAAGACAGCTTTTATTATACTATGCATTTCTTTTGTGGAAGATTTAGAAAACGGCAATGATCCAGAGGGGAAAATATAGTCTGTAATTCCATCACCAAAAAATAACCTTTTGGTATATAACTATTCAGCATTCATACTTAATACATTATAATGTAACCTAATTGTTTTTCTTTTAATATATGAATAACTTTAAACACGGCACATTTTGTTTTATTGAATCAATGAATATGTAGGCCATGTCCATTTTTCTATCATTAATAGCAAACATTAGGTACCAGAAACCATCCTGATCATCTTTTACATGTTAAGTCACTTATTTTTCATGACAGGAGAGACTCTACGTGGTAGGGACAGCTATCAGTCCACTTTAGAGATAAGGGAGAGAAGCTGAGTGACACATAGCCAGGGACACAAAAAGAAATGGATCCAAGAGGGAAAGCAAGCCGTCTAACCCCAGAGCGCCTGCTCTTAGACCCACGTGGGCTTAACGGGTACCCTTGAGCATACAGATTTACATTCTGGTTTGATTATTTCCTTAGAATCAATTCCTGAAAGTAGAACATTTAAACCAAAGTGTATACTCATTTTAAGACTTTTAATATATATTCCATAGGAATCTTTTGGATGGCATGAGCCTAAAGCAGTTTTGAGGGACAAGGAAGTATTTGCCCCCATCTGCTGGTATGTAGACACCTACTGGTAAATCTCTGATGTCACAGGGACTGCTTCAGCAAAGCACAGGGAAAAATATTTGGCCACTGAAGAGCTGTGCTTGAAAAGCCGAAGGGAATTTTAAAATGTGCATATCCAAGTCAATATCCTCATCAATACTGTCTTCGATCAGGTACTGGGGTAGGTGGAGCAGGATCCCAGGACTGAAAGGGAGGATGCACTTGATGGCCTTTGAGATACCTTGCAATGCTGATGTCCGGTGATCACACACACTGGGCAGCAGACAGCACCTTCCGGCCATAAAGGAGCTGCGCTTGCCAGCTCCCAGAAGCTCTGTGGGTTTCTGTTCAGTGGTGCTGCTGGATCCTCTTGAGAGGCCTTACTTTTATTCATAACCTTAGGGTAATGAGCATTCTGTGCATGTGATGGTAAGGCTGGGACTTGGAGAAGGAAGGGAAAATGGAAACAAAAAATATGGGCAAAATTTACTGATAACTAGATGTATTTTTTTTTAAACACTGTCTGTGATCCAGTCTCTTAGGACGTTATTATTTTTGCCTGCTTTCAGGACACTGTGGATTCCTCATTCATCAGAATATCACACAGGCCTCTGAGAACAGAGAACTCCTAACGTCTACGAAGTGGTAATAACCTAAACCACTGCTTCAAGCAACCCCAAACCTTCCTTTATCCTTTGTTAGCACAAAACAATCAGATTAATTCAGATTGGCCCCCTATATCTCCACCTCAAACAGAATCAGCAAATTAAAAAAAACACCCAGACCCCCATCAATTCATCTTCCCATCCCCTGTCCCCACACACAGATACACAGATCTTCTATTTAAAGGTCTCTAGGGAAGGGAGAGGAGCCACTTTCACTAAGGCCGAGCAGCACTATTAAGGAGCCGCTGGAGCAGTGGACATGTGTAATTACAGATGAAGCTACTCCAGGTCTGTTCAGTAGCACTGACTCTCA